TCGGGCTCCCTGCTCGGCGGGAAGCCTGCTTCTCCCTCTCCCACTCCCCCTGCTTGTGTTCCCCTCTCTCGCTGAGTCTCTGTCAAATAAATAAAATCTTTAAAAAAAAAAAAAAATCTATTATGAAGGCAATTAAGAGCTGACCAGGTTATCTATAAAAGCACATGGAGAATTTTATATAAAAAAATTACTAAAGGATTTGTATTGGTTCTGAATTTTTCTTTTTTACTTTAGGTGAATTCATTCTTATTTCTATTTAGAAGGTATTATTATTCATGTTTTGCAAATAGGGAAACTGAAGCCCAGAGAGTTGAAATGATTTCCAGAGAATTCAAGATGTATTCCTGAACCAACCTGTCATAGAAAAATTCTAGGACTAACAGTTCTTCAAATATATTTAATAACTTGTGTAGGGGAGAGAATTTTCATTTAAAATCAATCTAAATTATGCTAATGCTTTGGTTTGCTTTAGATTTGGTGTACTGCAGGAGAGGAGTTAAAATAACTTAGGGTTTAGGAATATGATCCAGACACAAATTCATGGACACATGGTTCTGGTGCCAACTAGACCTCTGGCTACTGTTTTTCTATATATGATAGTTCTCTTGAGGGTTATGTTACTTCTGAGAATTTTCTGAATTCCCTTTTCCAAAATAAAACTACATATGCCTAGAAGTCCTATGCTAGCACTTCAGGACTTTGACTAAAAAATGTGGTCAATTCTCTCCTCCACTGTCAACCATAGAGAACTCTAGTGATCGTGACATTTATGAAAAAGTTACCATGAGTCTCACTCAACAAATTTTAGTCCCCTAGTATTAAATTTACTTTGTAATTTAAAAAGAAGTTTACTTTAAAATTTACATGCTCATTGTAAAAAAAAAAAAAAAAAAAAAGCATAGTTAAGTCACTAAGATTAAAAATAAGTCTTCTCACTACTCTCCATCCTACAACCCAGGATGCATACAGTTTGGTATTTATCCCTCTGGGGTTTTAAAAAATTCATATACAAATGTGTATACACACAATTTTTCTGCAAGAAAGCAGTTTAATCCAACATTTTTTATGCTATAAATGCTCATATTAAGAAAATTTCAAATAAACAACTTACCGTGACACTACAAAGAACTAAAAAAAGAAGAAACTTATCTGAAATTTAGTAGAGGAAAGAAATAATAAAGAAAAATCAGAAATAAATAAGAGAACAGAATAAACAATAACTTAACACTGAAAGTAATGACCAGTTTAAAAAAAAAATGGCAATGCTTTATATATACTCAATTTTAAAATAAAAATGGAATCATACTAGACCTATTATTTTCTTCTTTTTTTAAAAAAATTTATTTATTTATTTTAGAGAGGCAGAGAGGGGATGGGGGTGGCAGAGGGAGAGAGAATCTTAAGCAGACTCCCTGCTGAGTGTGGAGCCCCACACAGGGCTCGATCTCACAACCCCGAGATCACGACTCTGAGATCAGTCATTAAGCGTCTGCCTTCGGCTCAGGTCGTGATCCCAGGGTCCTGGGATCGAGCCCTGCATCGGGCTCCCCGCTCAGCGGGAAGCCTGCTTCTCCCTCTCCCACTCCCCCTGCTTGTGTTCCCT